TGGATGGAAGTAGACTTCCCTGTGTGCTGAGTATAGCGACAATATGATGTCTGCCTGCCTTTGAAAAATGGCTAGTAGCTATGCCCATACTGTACTGAGACAAGCTGGTGTTGCAAATCAGCCCTCACTCAACATCTTCATTGACCTCATTGGGCCAATGTCCATAAGATCCTTTTCCAGTTGTTAGAAGATAATGCAGACCCCAACAGTAGATATGTAAAAGTAGGGGGCTTTTTTCCTCCAATGTGCATCTCTTTTAAAAAATTGAACCACAAAATTGACCATTCCTCTAGTTCAAAGAGATTCTTCTGGAGCTCTTCACATATTTTTTTACCACCCAGGTACATTTGGCATTGTCCACAAACGCGCCTCATTGCTTACTCTCAAAGCAAGATAACTTATAAACAAGTTAAAAAGTCCTAACACAGATCCCTGAAGGACTCTACTTCTTCCTTCCCTCCACTGAGAAAATTGCCCATTTATTCCTACTCTTTGCTTTCTGTTTAAACAATCAGCCATTTATAAAAGGATGAACAATTTTATTCCATGATTGCTCAGTTTGCTTAAGAGCCTTGCATGAGACAATTTATCAACAGCTTTTTGAAAATCCAAGTATATAATGTCACCTCCATCCATGTGCTTTTTGACACTCTATGCCAGAGATTTGGGGAATCTTGTATAAAAATAATAAATCTCAGAAAAAAATACACATCTTGAAAACAGCAGCAGACTACAGACACCCCAAACCCCAATGGAACAGCTTGGCCTTGAACTGACAACCAAAAACTGATGTTATTTGCATGTTGTTGTTTTTAAAACAGCACATGGAAAGCAAAAATACATTTAATGTCTAATTTACCGTTGAATTTTTTTTTCTCTTGCTTTACAATAATTTTCTCCAGACAAATACAATGTAATTCAATTTGCTTTTTATTTAGCTGATCACATCTGTAGTTAGTAACAGGCATGTATGTTAAATTGAATGAAGGCAAATGTGTGATTATATTGCAGTTATTTCTAATGATTGCAACTCTCTCATAATATTGTATTTATTTAAACAAAGTTTAACTGTCAAAAAATCCTCCTTGGAAATCAGCTCTAATCAACATTCAGAGACACATTAAATGAGTGCATGAGCTATTCCACCTGGAAAAGCTCACTGACATAGATATACTTTCTTTTAAAAAAACTTTTTTTTTTAATTTGCAGCTTTAAATATATTTGGGGGGAAAAACCACCAAGTTCTAGTGCAATTTATGCAAAAGTTAAGTGTATCAATATTAAGAGGGGAATATTATTACACACACACACATATATTTATATAAGATTGTCAGGCACTTATATATTGCTGGATTAAATTTCTGATTAAGAGGAATGAAGAATTCAAATAGAATGAATACATGCTGTAGGAATGCACTTTCATTTCTGAATAGTTTGGTCACAACGCCTTACATATGCAGAAAATCCAGCTGCTATATCACTGTGAAATCTACTACATATTTCAGGATGCCAAGGATGGTGGAAGCAATGCCCCCATCCTGCCCAGCGAGAAATTTGCACATACAAAACTCTCCTGAAATGAAACAGAACTGCCCACAAGCAGAGTTGGTATTTGTCTTACACAGAAGAAATTCATTGTGAATCATATTCATTGCCTTTTATCACTCAAATCAATATTTTTAAAATCTTCAAACAAAAATTCCAACATAGCATCAAATCGTCTGACATCACTAGCTGAAAATGGAGTAATTTGCTCCACTTTCGAAACTGTTCTCATATTTCTATCCAAGCACAAATCCTACACATTACAGGAAACATGCAAACCACACAGAAATGACCAGGTGATGTTAACCATCCCTCGTGTAGCTGGTGAATGTTAAAAAAAAGAGAGAGACTATTAAAGTTCACTGGTTTATAATCGGATCGGCACTGTCAACATTCAGTATGATTATTTCATACTGTTGAACATTACCTAGGTGTGTAAAGAGTTATCTATTATCTTCCACATTTGGACATCGATCAGTGTGACTATGCACACTTAGATACCCATAGCAAACAAGGAAGCTAAGGTGCATATTGCTGATGTGAACTGTGCCCTTCTTTTGTAATACATGCTTACAAATAATCCATGGATACACTTTTCAAAACAGTCTTCTCTGTAACGCTGAGCAGGCACAGAATGAAAATATATCTTCCCTGGACAATACATTTGGGTTACTTAAGTACATATCTTACTATCCTAGCCTCAATCCTGTTTTATTATATATTCTTTGAACTTTCATTTGATCGTCTTGCGATATGCCAAGCCAACTCTCACCCTACACTCTTAAATACAGTAGTTTGGTGCATATATCAATCTGTGATAATCTATGAACTACTTAGACTACAATATATATCCCTATAGCTCCCTTTGGCCATTTAACATAGTTGTTTTTATTAAGCAAATAATATTTTTCTTTACTCTTTTAAATGTATTCTCTCTTAAAATAAGCCTAACATAAAACATATATGTCTATATACATTATCAACTTAAGCCTACATGGAAGAGACAAGCAAGCTATCCTGTAGAGCAAGCTATACAGACATTCCATTATAAGTTTGCTTGATCCGCTACCCCACCCATCACCCATGTTGCCTTCCATAATAGTTCTGAGGCAACATGGCACACCACAGGAACAGCTCAGCCTTTCAGCAGATGGCATGGTGCCTCAGGAAGCAAATCTGGGCTATCATGAAAGGGAAGCAATTTGCCAAGGTTGTGGAGATCTACTTGAGGGCATCTTTTGCCTTTGTGTCAGAATATCTTTGCTGACTTTGGATATGGTACATCCTGATCCAGGGTATGTAGTGTATGTGTGGGAAGAGGAATGTTGTTTGCTACTTTGTGCAGGCAGCATGCCAATCTTGGCACATGAACAAAATTGGATGTATGACTTTCTCAACAGAAAAGAATAGTATCCTCTTCTCATTTTGAACATTATGATGGAATTTAGATATGGAAGAAAGAGTTCTTGCCTTTGTGTGTTCCTTCAACATATTTTACCCTACATCAGTTAGGGGGAACATGAAGATATTCTCCCACCAACCCTGATCACTGACCATTCTGGCTGGGTCTAATGAGAGTTGCAGACCATCAGTTTCTGCAGTGCACAGATACTCCCTAACTGTATCACATTATTTTCAATTCAAACACTAAGAC